GCTGATGAAATTTCAACAAATTAAAATAAATTTAAACCTAAGTTGACATGGGCGTAAACAGCATAAATTGAACTAGCTCCAGATGCTCTGTACCTAGCTTCCTCATATATGACTAAAGCAGACAGACTGACTCGCTAGAACATCTATACACATATATATGTGTGTGTATGTATACATATGTACATCTAGACTTAATGGGTTTCTAGCCAACAGTCTCCTTAGACTCAGGCCTGAAAGTTTTATTTATTATACCTAAATTTTACATTTCATTGATAAATTAATTTATTGTTTGCAGTTGGTTAGTCTAATGCTTGTAGATTACTATTGTTATAAATTCTCCCATGATTCTTTTTTAAATTACAATCTGTTAGCCTCAGTTCTTGTATCCCACCTGATAATGGCAGGTAAACCTGGTGAAATGTTCTGGATAAAATAAACGTTTTATTATGTACAACCGTTACAAAATTTGTGTGAAACTGAAAACATTAATAATCAAAAACACTAATTTTGGATGATTATTTTTTTGTGATAATTGATTTGATCCTAATATTTTGATTGATTGTTAGAATAATCAAAATGGTAATGAGAAAAACTAATTTGAATTAATCTAGTTAATCATAATTTCAGTTAACTGATTAGTTTACATGGCACTAATTGATGTAATTGCTGCTCATAGGTAATCAGTTAAGTCACTCGGCTATAATGGTCAGTAGCATCAAGGTGCATCTGCAACCATTTATTAGCCTATTCTAAGTACTAATAAGAACAAGATATAAAATGGCATCTTTCCAAGTATGTTATTTACTATTATTATAAAAAGAAATCCCAATAAACTCTTACTTTGTAACAAAGAAAATAAATGTTGATAACTTGCATCCATGTCTTAAAAATTAATCTTCTATTATAAGAATTCAGTTCATTTAACTGATTATATCACTTTCAGTGTCAATAACCTTTTCTGTACACTGATGAAATAAACTTTCATCAACCCAAATATTTTACAATCACCATGGTATGTTTTTCCAAGTACATGTTTTCAGTCCTCCTATTCATCTCTCTTAGAATGCTAGAATCTCTTGCCCTTGAGCTTAAAAAACCAGCTCTTAGCCACAAAATAGGTGTACTACCACGAATTGGTACATCTTCAATTATGAAAATGTAAAGAAAAGAACAGGACCTGAACTTTGATCATTTAACAGTATATGTATAACATATCTATATTTGTTTGGTCAGATTATCTGTATGGAAGACCTTTAACATTGACAAAATATCAGTAACAGTGAGGATACAACTGAGGAAACAATTCATTCCAATCTTTATAAGTAAGAACATGGAAACAATATATTAGGCTAGGCTTATTGCCAGTTTTATTTAGATTTTTGATCTATGTAGGTTGCTTGCTTTGATCGGAAGTTACTATTAATTCACATTTTCTTATTCTTAAGCAATTCTCAGTTATTATGATTGTAACCAGTTGCAGCAAAAGCTTCATCTAATGTTTTGCTTCAAATACTGACAATATTAGTGTACATATAGATTAATCTGTGAACCTCCAATGTGACTTCATTCAGAATTCATGTGGATAAGTCTGTTAACCCATAATTTTAGTATTTTGCCCCTTTTGCTTCTTACTTGTATTTCTGATGACTGTCGTGTACAGCTAATCACTGGAAATGATAATTTTTATTTGGTGCTGTTAACTACCAATCTAGCTTTGTTTGCCAATAATGTAGATTTGCTATATATATATATATAGACACACAGGTACACAGTGTGAGCCATAGCGAATCCCCAGTAAAGGAAAATGGAAACTAAAATTGGCATAATAAAAACTTTCCTCGTGATTAACCTGTGTTTATATGACCACCAAATCAGTGTAACATTACCTATGTTCATAGTTTTCAACACTATTATCAATGCATGTGTGACATACTTCAATAATTAATGTATACACTTTCCTATATGGGAATAGACTCAATTGGCAAGTTGATATGGTGGCAAAAGTTGTTTGTAATTTTCCATGTTTCACAAATTAGACAGAGAAATTACAAACGTGAATATTGCATACATTTTAAACTTACCTTCCATTATTCCTTTGGTTCTTGTAACTTGAGTTCTGTTTGGAAGTATTATAACTGGAAACTTCCCAACAAGTGTTGGTTTGATTCAATTGAAATTATTGACATCTTGGACAACTGCTCAAAATTAAATCCATGTAGATCCCAGATATACAATTATAAATTTACAGGAAAGGTTTTCACTTTATTTTTATGATAGAGTGGAATTTTGACTGTAAAAGTGAAAAATTTGATTGTCCTGAGAGGTAAGTGATTAATTGGTATAATTGATTACCTAAGAGCATCAGTTAGAGCTAATTAAAATAATTAACTGAAATTAGGATTAATTCAATTAATGTTTTCATTTATCCTAACTATCCAAAAAATCAAAATATTGCCATTATGATTCCTTGTTATTATTTTTCATTAAAACGAGGTTGTTCAGCTTAATCAATTAGTGTCACAACTCACAAAAACGATTAGCTAATGGAAATTAGTGTTTCTGATTATTACTATTTTTGATTATTCCAACTATCTAAGTCTCTTATGAGAGAAATCTAATAGTTGAATGTAATTGTTTAGCGAGCCAGACGATTAATCTGTTATCAACTAAGTGCCCAGCGCTTTTGCCCCCCAGGATGGTCTCTGACACAGTATGTGTGTTTGTATTATATATATATAGATAGACACACACGGCTGTCGAGAGTGGCGGTGAGCCTTGGGGCTGGGGTTGCCCCGGGCCCCCAGCGGGATCCAGGAGCTGATCCCTTGATGGGAGACCATGAGGGAAGCTCTAGACTTTTAGTGATATTAGCAAAATTTTAAGTCTTAATACCACTAAGTTACGGCTTAAAGTACCGATCTCCTTTGTGAAATTTTCCGTGGACAAAAGGCCTTTAACAATCAACAATATCATTTTGAGAAAAGAAAAAATGTAAACATCTGTATATTTAATTGGATAATTTATTGAAAGTTTAAACACATTGTCAAGGATTACTTTAACGAGTTCAGTAATACAGAATTGTTATAACTAAACGAAACATGCTTTACGTGCCTTTTTCAAAGCATATGTTTTTATTATTTCACTGAAGTCAATTCTCCCCACAAGTTCGCCCTCAATACTAAGAATGGCTAGGTCATTCATTGTGCTCCTCAAGAAGCTCTTGATGAGTTTTAGTTTGTTGAAAGATCTCTCAACAGATGCTACTGTAACTGGCAATGTGCAGAATATTCACAGTGCAATACATACATTTGAAAAAATGCCATCTAACTTGTACCTTTTTGTTGTTTTTAAAAGTTGATATGGCCCCGTATCTTCACCAAAGTTTGATGCATGTATTACCTTAAGGTGCCCGATTTCCTCTTGCATGGATTCTGAGATATTGTCTGGGTATTTGTCCACTAATCTTGTGTCCCGAATGCAGAACTGCACATTACACGAGGTTTAGCAGGAAGGAGGTTGATGTGTTCTAAATTTAGAATATTTGGCAGTTGGCAGAAGTTATGCTGGAATTTTGGACAGTGTGCTGGAAAGCGTTTGCAGCGCACAAATCTCTCTTTAGTGCAAAATTTTTGTCTTTGGCTTTAACTCGAAAATCTTTGTTTTTACTCTCAGTTGCATTAGCATTACCACCAGTTTTTGAATGTTCTATTGCTATAATTATGATTGAAGGAAATTCCTGTATTCAGTCCAAAGTTAGGCTATTTTCCATTTTGAACTTGGCTTGGCTTGTAGAGTAATTTTGCATCAGTTTTTCTGGTCTATGGATTCTTAGCTTAAGAGTATGCAAATTTTTAAAAAATCAAGTTTAAAGTTGAGGCATTTTTTATGGGGCCCCTGGGCATGCACGGGCCCCATGGTAGTTGCCCCCCCTTAGCGGTGGGCCCGCACACACACAGGACAAGAATATTGTTACACTAGTGTTATGGATCCAAGGTATATACAAAGAAAAAGCAAGGGCTAAGTTTCATCAAGGCTGATTATTAATTGGAAGAGTAACCACCTTAATATCCAGGGAGAGATCACACAGTTTACTATGTATTAATATCTTTTTTTTTTTGTTGCCCTTGTGGATTTTCTTGTGAAAGAAGGATGGCTTATATGTATATACAAAATTTGAAACTTTCTTTTAGAGGTTTGTGGTCCTCTGTGCATTTGGGTGGATTTCGTTTAAAAATTTTAGTAAGTTAAAGAAGAATTAACTTAGTATTTCTGTCATTAAAAAACGTTATGTTCAGATTAGTAAAAATTTCATCACTTCAATTATATCTTAATACATTTATAGAAGATCAAGATGAAGTAATACATAAATTTTCAGACTAGAATCTTACATTAGTAGAAAAGAAGGCAGGAATAAGAGGTTTTCATTACTCAGTTACACCTAGAAAGACACATTACTATGACTACTGTGCAAAGGTTGAAGAACAATTACAAAAATTAATAAACTTATAGTGTGTAGTAGTAATCGTACAATTTTTAATAATGTTGTATTAAAAATATGAGGCTTGGCTTTAACAACTTATTTTTCATATCAATAATTTAAGTTTATCAAAAGAAGGAAACAAAGCATTTGAACTGTTATGAAAATGAAACAACTGGTTTTATTAGGCCAGATGAAGGGCAATTTAATGATTATTTTGAATGTAAGTGATAATGAAAATCTACTATTAGAAGTGTTAGTAAATACACCTAAATCTTCCAAATTAAATTCAGACCCAACAAAAAAAAAATAGAGAAAGTCAACTACAAAGATATTTATTGAAATTTAAAAAAAATAGTGTTATTAATGATATAATGTATAAACAGTTTAAACTAGTAGGATATCATTGTGGAATTTTAATGGTTTACCAAAAATGCCTTAGAATGGCTATCCTATCAGACCATAGTGTCTAAACTATCAGATTTATTACTAATTTCACTAAATTTGAAGTTCACTTTCAGTCTTACTAGGATCATTTTCAGGTGAATATATAAAGAGCAATTTTGATGAATCTTCACTAGAGTCAAGCATTGAATGATAAATATTAAGTAAGGTTTTAAGTATTAGGTGTAGTTTTTGGTTTTACTTCAGGATTCTATTTTGAATTTATAAAACTTGATCTAATTTGTCAACTTAAATAATGAAAACATAAACATTTTGTATTATTTTTCTTTTTTGAAATTACGTGTATATATCCAAATTAACAACAGTGTCAAAAAAATCTGATTAAAAATTATTTATTTCTAGGAACAGTTTTTTATTATTATTAAATGCAATTCAAATTCTTAATTTTTTGTATTGTTTAGTTCCAGTCTAGTTCGAAGTATCTTCACACGTGTCCTAAAACTCCTGCCAAGAAAGTTTTAGAAAAACATTTGTGTGGTCAGTGGTATGGTATTGTGATTACTGGAAGCCTAAGTAAATATATTGCCTTTTTTTTTTTTTAACAGTTTACTGTTACAGAGGATTATGATAAATGTATAAACATATGTGTTGTGCAAAAAATAAAATTTGTTTACCATATATACAGTTATAATTTTGATAAACGTGTATAAATCATTGGAAGTTTTGCATCTTAGATAGTAAAGTATGATGAAGTTTTCAAATTTTAGTGAGTACTGAAAAGAAAATGCATTAACTTGTTTTGAATTTAAATAATTATTCTATTTTATTTTACAAAATTATGTGGATTTTAAGTAGTTAAATAAATAAGAAATATATATATAAATATGGAAGATTGGACTAATCCTTGTATATTTTTATGCCCCTGTTGCTTCACGAAGCAGAACAAAGTATATTGGCATGTCATTCTGTCAGTCCATCCTGATCTTAAGACTTATATAACAAATACTACATACAAAGTTCTAGACCTTTTTAGTTTTTAAAAATTTAGGGTTAAAGGTCAATTAAATTTGGGGATGTCGAAAACAAAAAAGTGGAAAATCTTAAACCACGAAAAGTGGCTAATGTTAAATAGATGTTTTAATGCTCACAACATTTCAGCCTGAAACATTTTGAACATTAAAACATCTATTTAACATTAGCCATTTCTTAGAATATAAATTTTTCCACTTTTTTATTATAAATAAATTTGGCAGGGATAGGGGCTTAAACATACTGTATAACATTATTGAGAGAAGAGGTGTTTAATAAACACAACTTGCACTTGTTTATCTTGAGATTTCAATATTTTGTGTTAATTTTAAGTGTATTGGTTTATGTTTTAAGCTTTAGGTCATGCATATTTTTAAATTTTGTTGGATATAAATATGGTAACTTACATTTTGTATAATCAGCCAAGTCTTTTCTCAATGAATTATCAAACTTTTGTTTCTGGTCAGATATTAAGTATATGAGCTTACATCCTAGTCTTTGAGAAATGTGTTTTTCACCTATGTTATTGAAGCTTGCATTATTGTTATCTTCAGACATATGTGCCACCTAGCATTCAGTATATTAGTGTTTTACCTGTAATGGTTAATATTGATTTTTAAAATTTTGTCATTACTAAGTTTCAGCTACCTGTGGTTAACGATATCAAAGTATATTAGTTTTTAAAATGGAGGTATATACAATCTTCCCCTGTAATATATGTTCACCTCTTAAGTTTCAGCTAATCGTACAATAGTTGCTTTTCATAGTAATAATTGTATTGTGTTACGCTTTGCATATTAGTGACATGCTGTGTAGACCAGCTGTATTTCCTGTTGTCTAAAGTTTCTAAAAAACTTGAAAAAGCTGATTTATATCATGGCTAAAAATAGTATATTAATTTATAATACATTACTGATTTACTGAAAACTGAAATAAAACAAAGTTATCCCAGATTTTGATAAAATGCAAATTTTATATCTAATTTGTTTGCACAATTTTTTATTTTTTTAAACTTTTATTACAGAATATTAGTTAAGCTTGTTTAACAACTTGATGAAGTCAAACTATACATTTTTACAAAAACTATCTTCACATATCTGTGTGTAAAAACAAAAAAGTCACTAGAGTTAGGTTTCACATTTAATATTTTAAATATGCAAAAAAGTAGAGTTTAATAATTAGCTTTAAAAAAAATTGGGGAAAATTCTTTTACTATATCGTACAAAATCTGGAAATGTATAACAGATGAATTAAATTTATTCACATTCAATATGTATTTATTAGTAATAACATATACAATTGTTTATTTCTTTCTGTTGTTTTTTTTTTAGAAACTGCATGCAGAATGGTTCATTGTAAGTGTAGAAATGGTATCTACCCACGAACTGTAGGACAGGAAGGGAAAAGATTACCCTGTTCCAGTTGAGAAAGTTCACTGGTCAGTTGATTGGGATGATTATGATCCACCACAGTACTCGATGAAAGGTTTGACCTCTATGTCATGGGCTGATCCCAACATTGGGTACTTGTGTTTCACATTTTTATATCTCAGTAGAATTGTTTTGTTTTTAATTGCTAAAGGGTTTGAACTAAATCATTATTGTTGCTTACCTGCTTGGTATACTGTGTACTGTCTTTGTTTTATTGAATTGCTTGAAGTTAGTTATTGCCAATACCCATAACTTGTGTTACAGACCATAGCATTTAAGTGGCATGGCTACATTTATGCAGTTCTAGATTTGTTAAACATGTTAAGGCTACTTGTTATATTCACTCAATTTAAACTTGTTTAATTTTTCTGTGAGGTCAGCACAGTTATGTTTAATCTACAGTTATGCTAATTTGGAGCAGTTTAAACATTAAGTTGCATAATGTTCTATACATTTCTCCCATGTGCATAGAAACAGTCTTGGAAATATTCCAATGTCTAGACCAGGTTTCAGTTCATTACATTTGAAGCACAAAGATACAGATATGGCTCTTGAGCTGATCCAGTCATTTATTCCTTGGACCATACATCTCTTCTGTCTGTTGGCTTTGTACCTCTTTTTCCAAGTAGGCTGACGTTACAGATTGTATGATGTATTTCACTTGATAGCTTATACAATTTTTTCGACAACTTCAAGGAAAGGTTTAATGAATTGTTTCTGCAGGTACTGAAAATTAATTGCAAGTGACAAAACCTGCAAATTTCAATGTAGACTTCAATTACATTATCACATAGTTTAAATATAATTGTTTTCAGACATGAAATATGCAAGGCAGTTTAGAAAAAAAAGTTCAGGACAATACACTATATATAAATAGACCAGGAACAATATAAACATCTTCAACTGGCCACTTAATTAGGACCTCCACTTAATGACATGTCAGATCACCTTTTGCGTGTTTGACATATTATTGTATAGTCTTCTTTATTTTCACTTAGAAGTTCTTATTGATAATTGTGTTAGACCATTTTTCACTTTTCTAACAGACTAGACTCAGTGTGATGTATAAGCTCTTCAAGATGCCATAAGGTGGCATGTTCATTTGTAGTATGGTTTACAAGTTGCTGAAGACATGTATTCAGTAGTTTTCAAAAATAGTTTTCTATTTTGCTTCCCATAACAGTTAGGTGTCAGTAATCTTGAAGGGTGGTTTTTTTCTATCCCATTCCTGCTATGGTGTAACATACAGGCCAGATTGACTCTCGGATTTGTTGATTTGGATTCATTGTTCTTATGTTGATGTTTACCATTAACTCGTTGATGTGTTGTAGGTAAAGTGATTAAGTGATAAATACAAGGAAGCAGGTATAACATAAATGTTGATTCCGATCCACAATACTAGCATACAAATTGGAGAATTTTCATCTTATTTGCAACACTTACAAACAGTAGGAACAAACTCTTGTAGAATAATGAGAACATTTTGTTTTCATGCTAATAAGTTTTTAGGTATGGAACTACTTTATTAGCAACCTAACTAAGTCACTTATGATTTTTGATTTTCATTTTCTGCACCATGTCTCTCTTTCTTTTCTTTACCTTTCTCTTTATCAACCACCACAGTATCCACCAGAAGCCCCATACAACATACTAACCAGTCAATAACTCATTTGGTAACTACTTCAATAAAACCAATAGCAGGATCTTCCATATTTAGACTGGTTAAACCTTTTTTCCCTACTTCATTTGGCTTAAAGAGGTAGACAGTTTTACACTTAAGTGCTTGAATGACATGTCTAAGTAGTAAACACTTTACTGTTTGGAGAATATATGACCAGTGTCTTCTGCTTTGATCATTTTAAGTTGCTAGTTTTGCTCCAATAAAACGTAATTGAATGGATTTTGTTAGCAAAGTTTTCTCACATGTTTAAGATTTCTTACCAATAATCCATTTCACCCAGAATTCTATATCACATACAGCTGTGAACAACAAAGTACCTGCAGATTCTAACATGTATATATGTTTAACTTAATATTTTATTTGATTCACAATGTTCTAATTATATTGAAGTCATTTTTAATGTTTAAGTTGCATGGTTGTAATTATAGTAACCTTATATGTGCTTTACCATTTGTTAGAGACCCAGGGTTTAAACCTAAATGGAACTTATTAGATGGCAAGGTCAATCGGAAGAGTCACCAGGGAGAATACCACATTGTTAATGGCTATCCCATAAATCCTCAGGGAAGAACAGGATTGCAAGGGCGAGGTTGTTTGGGTCGCTGGGGACCCAATCATGCAGCTGATCCAGTTGTGACCAGGTTAAAATATTTTGCTTTTTTTCATGTGCATAGATTAGCATAAACTTCAAATATTAATTTTCCAGTATGGAATGCCACAAACTTTGATGCTCCCACCTAGCTGGAATTGACTGAATCCAATGCATCATGCATGCAACAACCCTCCACATACTTTCTTGATGCATGTAACTCACTCTATTCAATTCTACCAAACTATCACTTCTTGTTTGGCAGTACTCGTAACATTTAGTTTGTGCTCTCATCAAATGTTTTATTTAAATTTTTGTATTAATTTCTCTCAACATGTTTACTCTTTATTATACAATAATGGAAATATTTTACATTTCTACCCGGTTATGGAATTATTACTTCATTTCAAACACTTTATATGTGTTTCTGTTATGCATTATGAATTCTACGTTACCACTTCGGAGTTTATATATTCTGTTAGAACATTTACACAGGCTTCAGGTCGCATACTCTGTGGGAAGATTTTCGGCTTTAACGCCTGGAAATTGATCATCCAGTGAGCTGACTTTTGTTGGGCCTCGCCTCTAGTTTGGGGGCCCACACGTTTTAACATCCAGTCCACTGACTTTGGAAAGATAAGATGTTATATTGTTATGGTTTTTGAGTAATTCTATTTTTAATATTATCATCTGTAGTTATTTGAATTTTATTACATAAGTTTTGTTAGATTGGTCAATACTCATAGTCCAGTTCAGGTTAGTAATTAGGCTTAGTTGCACCCTTTCTCCTATACCATTGATACTAGGGGTCTTTCTTGTTTTAGGATTACCTGCAATTCATCTTACTAGTATATCTATCATTCTTTAACTTTATTGGTTTTCATCCATACATCACATCTCATACATAAGTTAATGATAATACTCACTTATTTCATTTTCATTATTATTAAACTTATTGTTAGGTTAAGATTTTTATTTTTGAGCTTTGTGATATCCTTTATCCTGCACTGTTTGATTAGCTTAACACATGTCTGATATTTCCAGTTTACCTGTAGTTATACTTGCAGGCTACTTGTTAATTAAGTTAAAATCTTATTAGCTTAGGCTTAACAAGTGTTTGTTAATTTAGGTTTACCTGTGGTTATACTTCCAGATTAATTGTTAGTTCAGTTAACTATTTGTTGTTCTACAACAAATAACATGTATTACGTTTGTTTCTTTCACTATCATAATTCTTACCATTAATTTTGTTTAATTTATAATTTATACTTCTTACCCTTAATTTAATATGTGTGTGGACTCCTGGGGGCTGGGGTCCATCCTACCTGTCACTCGCCTTCCTCTTATAATGACTGAATCCATTTCTGATGGCCCATATTTTGTCATTTTCCCTCCACTTTATCATGGATTACATTCCAAGCCTCTACTGCAGAATCTGCTAGGCCTATCTCACTTTGTTTTTTTGTTTTGTTTTAGACATATTTTACATTGTATTTCCCTTCTCCTGATATTGTTTCTTGATAAACTTTTTGTCTCTCTTTTGAGAGTGGGTACTTGCAAGCCTCACCATATACAGGCTTTAATTCTTTTTGACTTAGCTTAACATCAGACAGATTTTCTTCGGATCTCTGTTCATCCTATCCATTTTCTCCGCTACTTAGTTTTTCAGCTTCATATTACCCTATCTACTCTCCTACGGGTAATGTTTACCTTCCTCTTCCTTTCTTAGGTGTTCCACCTATATTTAGAGATTTCCATGGGATGCCTCTTCCTTCTTCCCTCCATGTTGGGGGGGTGCCATCTTCAGTTCTTTCCCTCTACACATGGCTTCTTTCCTTTAAGGATCTTTTTGGGTGGGACACTGCTGTTAGTTTACCATCCACTGTTAATAGGGACTTATGGTCAGGTCTTTTTCTCCACTGGTCCATTTTTTGGGGCTTCTCCTATACATTCAGCATCATGTGGGGTATCTGCCATGCTATATTAAATTTTTTGTTGCTTTTTTGCTTCACTATCAGATATTGTCATCTTTATTCTTTTACATGTCTGGCAGTTTGCCATCCTTTACCTGTCCTACTTATGGGTTTTCTCTATTCTTCTTGTATGCTTGATGCTGTTTGGGGTTCTGGATCGATCAGTCCCACCTCAATCACTTCTTGGGTCTTCTACAGTCTGCAGTCTTTGATAACATTTGGGTTTGCTATTTCTGCATGTCTGGAAATGCCCACAGTATTTGTTTTTATCTTCCATTTCTTGGGATGCTATCTTAGGTTATTTCACCATGTGATTTGGTCCCAGTTTTGTGCCTTGCCCTTTGGACTTGTTTTGGTACCATATGTCTTTTGTGGGGTGGTCTGCATTTTACCGACTTCCATATTTTGGGGGATTTTACCTACACCATTCATTGGATGTCTAGCTTTGGTTAGCTCCTTTCGAACAGGTGTAGTCTTAACCTACTTATATACTCCTTCCATATATGTTTTTCTTGTTCCATACCTCACATTTTCATCTCTTTGGGGTGGGTATTTTTAAACATCCCTGCATTGGACCATCCATTTGATTTTCCTCTTAATTTTCCTCCTTCCCTCTTCGTTTATATGCGTTGATGATCATATTCTCTACAATGTAGGGTTTCCCTCTTAGTTCCCCCTCTTCTGGATTATTTCTCTTCCCTGATTCTCATCTTCAGTGGTTGGGGTTTGATCAGTAGGAGGATTCAGGGTTATAGTCTCCAGGAAAAAGGTCTTATTCCCTTCACACACACTGGCACTTCTGCCAGTCCAATGTACTTTCTTTCACTCTCTTCATTTTGGTTAATCATGTTTCTTTTCTACTATTCGATAGTGGTGGACTTCTATCACTCACCAAGGGGATGTTCATTCTTGTTCCTCTTGTTGTAACCAGTGGATCTCCCTTTTTGAACCCACACACTTAACATGTGTCTCCTGGAGAGTTGTGTTCCAGGTATTTTTGTCCTTGTTGCTGATAAACTTTCCAGTCCCATCACACTTTCTTTCAAGGAGTGACCTCTCGATCCTCCAAATTTTTGGTGGCTCTGCCTCCTGTGGGGTACTCCTTCACGTGAGGTTTTTGGATTTTTTATCAATTCCCAGGCAGTTACCTTTTTATTTTTTTGGTTTCTAGTTCATCATCCATTTGCCCTGGCTGTTGATACATTCAGACAGGATTATATTCAGATTACAACATTAGTTGTTTTTTTTCCCAAAATGTTTGTTCATTCGTGTCACTTCGATTCAGATCTTTCTGATTGATTTTTCCCTGCCATCACAGATCTGGGTTTCTCTGTTTTTTAGCTCAATTGTTTCCTTTGTTCTGGTTCATTTTTATTAACCTACATTTTTGTGGCTCATGTGGTATATTTCTTTCATCTTCTCCATTTCTTAACATCTTCCATATTTCTTCTCAGTCAGTTCCAGATGACCTTGTCGGTTCAGTACATGCTTTGGGTTGCTTCATTGTTTTCAAGGTTTTTTCTATTGAATCCATTTCTCATGATTTCTTTCCCTTACTCCACTGCTTTGTCTATGATTTTTGTCCCTTCCTCCCTGACCCATTGGGTTTGGGATGTGATTCAATTGACCTTTTATTCCTTGTATTCTTCTTCCTATCATCAATTCCTGGTGTCTTCACTCCAATCCTGAACCTTCCATTTTCCCTGCATATCACACCTGTCATTTGTTGGAGGTACTTCATCTGTCAAGCACTGGGACTACACCTCATATGTACATCTCCCATTCTCTACTTTGGGTAGCTGTTTCTTCCTTGTCATAGTACCATCATCCACCTGTTGCCATCCTTCACTCTTTCATGAGACTGTGACTGGGTAAGTTGCCTTTTAGTATATATACCTCTTATTTTTCAGGGGCATGTCTCTCTTTTTTTATTGATCCCGAACTGTGGCGAGTGATGTCTGTCCAGGTATACTTAAACAGATAAAAGCTGCACTGTAAGGCCATGATGGCTTAACAATTATAATTCCATGGCCACTAAATGCACACTGCTGAGATGAAGTGTTCTACAAGATTGCTTGTAGGTTTATATTTACTTTGTTAATATGTCTGTCCCGGACTGTATTCATCCATGGACTTCATGGGTAAATTGGAAGAAGACAGCTGCCCATCCCTGCCATGCTTTGTATTGAATAAATTGGTATGGTCTGCTTTTCAAACTAGGGTTTCTTGGGTTATGTGAGTGAAGGTAATGTACCATATTGGAAGTAATAATTTTCCTATAATGAAAATTTATTTCCAATATGTACTTACCTCCTCTCACACTTCCCAACCTTCCTCCCCACTGAAAACTAGAGCTTCTATTTTCTGCCTAATCTTAAAGTGATAGTTTGGTAGAATTGAATAGAGGGAGTCTCATTCGCACTCTTATTGGTGGAGGGTTGTTGCATGACAATTTGCATGCGAGACACATTTGGGTGGGAGCATCAAGGCTTGTGGCACATGCAAACAATTTTTTGCATATAGAGGGCAGCACTAAACGAAAATAGGTATTTATGTGAGAGGAGGTAAGTGCCTATCGGAAATACATTTTCAGTACAGGAAAATTATAATGTTATAGACATACTACACTAAGATATTTCTGTGTAAGAGTTCCTGTGTGTATGCCTTACAATCAATGGGAAAGAGGCTAGTTGGTATCAAAGTTAACATTGTCATGAGGAAAGTATTGTAGAATAATTTATAAATGTGTAAGCAACATCCAAAATCAGCATATTAATGTGCATAAAGTATGTTTAACCAAAGTTAGAGCTAATGAATGATGCTTTCATGGGTCATACTCATTAAAGTTCTTTCCTCTGAAAGTACTCGCATATAATTTAAACAAGAGTGTACACAAAAAGAAATGCAAACTTTAATGTAATTCTTATATATAAATTCATAATATTCATTAAGCTCAACCATATTTGTGCCATACATTCAATTAGGACTTGTGAGTTAACTCTTTAATACTATAATTTTTTCATGTTCTGCTGGCATTATTTTCATGATTTCCTAATAGTTATCACCATACCTTATAAAACTTAAATTTTCTTAATTTTATGGATAATAACTTGGTTTGGATTAGTTTTCACCCAAAGAATCATAAATGTTATTGGATGCTGGTACCATCTGATGGGTAAATTGGAATTTTAGGCCAGATGTTGGCAGTGTCTGCTTGAGTTTAAGGAGTTAAATTTTCCAGAGATATTATGCCTGAAGAAGATGTATTAAATTAATCAGTGGATACTTTAATAATTAAAAATCACAAAGTAAAAAAAGATTTATTTTGTCTACTGACACAGTGACTTGTTTCATCAAATTTTATCCATTTGGCTATGAACAGTTTCTTTTATAAAATGAATGAAACAATAAAAATAAACACATTATACTTATCTATAAACTTTGTATATTAGATGCTGCTTTTTGCTCTCCTATCTTTAAAAATCAGTTAAATATCTTTCAGTGATATTCATCCTAGAAATTATAATTGAAATTGCTGCCATATGAACAGGGTTGTCTCAAATAACAGTTGTACACATGGTTAGAAATAACAAGTACATCAATACACAGAATAATTCATATGATGAAAATTCTATTGTTATTATGCAATCACAGTCTGAAATGCAAAATAATGCCTTTTGTCTATCTGTTTAATATTGGTTAGTGATCAGAACAAGCTACATACATAGATGTGAACTAAAAATTAGTTCAGTAATGAATATAGCTTATTTAACATACCATTCTTACTTAAAATAGATTGTTTCATCATTTGGATACCCTTATTGTTAGTAATATTTTTGACCATAATACAAGTAATAGCTCATGATTTCTCCAGCTTAAGAGATTTAGGGTAGTCCCAAGTATATGTACTAACAGTGCAAAATAATTCTTATAATAAAAAATATACATTAATCCAGATGTTCCCAAATTAGGGGGTTGCAGACCCTTGGGTAGCTATGTCAAATACACAATACTGTTAAGGCACTCATTATCTAATTTCATTGGCTGGGGGCCTCAGTCAGGATGTGGGATGGGTGGCTTGTGCTGAGAAAGTTTGAAAACTCGTGAATTGATCCTTCTAACCAACACTGTTAAGGAGTAGAGTATAACTTACTTTGTTATGAATTTTAATGTAATTCCTGTAACTTCTAAACTTTTTTTTTCAGTAAAACTCCTTAGATGATAAATCCATATAGCAAATTGAGATAATACATCAAAATTCAGAAGTAAAAGGACTTCATCAAAGATGAAATTACGAATAAGAACCAAGAAAATACTGTAAGCCATTAGTTGGACACAAGGAAAAATATTTACTGCAAAGAAAAACAAAAAATAACTTCATCATTGTGACTGCCCTATACATTAACCCTAAGATTTTATTAGAATGTACAACATGACAACAATATGTGTATGAATATATGGTTATTTTCTGGCAATAAGATTAAAAGCCGTGTATTTAATATTTATAGAAATGCATTATCTCTATTACACCTTCCCATGATATAATTAATGTATTACTGGAGTTGTTTAGTGTACTAAAAAATTAGATCTTTCAGCTTACTGTAACTCATAGTTCAGTTGTGATTGAGGCTTAACTATAATGCTATCTTATGAATTTGTGAGTTAATGTTAATATGCAAAAGTATGTAAAGTGTTGGTTTTGTTTATTGTAGATGGAAGAGGAATGACAAAGGTAATATTATCAAAAATCCTTCATCTGGACTCCCTGTTCTGCAGTTTGTTTCAATACAGCGAAAGGACTCAGGAGAGTGGGCAATCCCTGGTGTAAGTCAGACCTAAGATGTCATTAAGTTTCCCATATTTATCGAGGAAATCTCAAATTTGACAAATTCTCTTAGCAAAATTTGACTTTCTATAATAAACAGTAAACTATCAGGAGTTTAAATGGTTAAAAAATATATTTAACTGTATGTAATAGATCTTTTTATTTTTGTAACATTTATTTTCTGCAATATTTATTTTCTTAATGATATATCTATCCTGTTCATTATATATTTCTTCAAAAGACACATTAAGTTATGTTGTTGAAGGGCTTGTGTGCTTAATTGAATACTTAAATATCTTCTGGATGAAATTAGAAAAACTATAAAGTAGTTACCTTGAAAGTTCATCCCACTTTATAAAAACAGTGATATAGGATGGTCCTGCCCCTGAAGATATTTCCTCTATCACTGATCTTACTCATGCACACTCTTATTGCCATGGTAACATAATGAACAGTGATGTTGAAAAATATCTTCACTATAAAGTTCTTGTTTTGCATTTAATAAACTAAAATTTACTTTTTAAATACATCCATATTCAGGGTATATATATATATATATATATATATATCAATTAATCAAGGTTGATCAGAATATCAAGACTTGCACAGATATCTTATAAATGGTGTTTGTACATGGTAATACTTATTAATATAACTTAGCCATAAGAATGATATTATTCTTAAAACCAACTTTGCCCTGATGAGATGTGTCTAAAAGGAGGTGCTATTTGAAGCCACATATTACTAAATGTATTAACTTCTGGAAAATAAAGTTCCCATAAGTTATGCTGAAGAACAAAGGACAATATTTTGGTTTTGTTTGTTCAAGTACATCCTTATAGTCGATGTTGTTTACTACAAAAGGAGGGTCATAACAATGATTCTTGTTCTCAGCTCCTCGTATTGTATGACACTGTAACTAACATTATTGTAAACTTCTGCGAAGGGCAGTGAAGCTAATGTTGAACCACATTTAACTTTCCTCAGTGTGTGTGTGTGATGGGTGGGTGGTCAAAATGTCATTGTCGCGACATTTTACAGAGTTACATTCAAACGTAATTAAATAACTATTATCAAGGTGTGTCAATGAATTTGGCATTAAAACATAGTTTATAATTCAATTTTTCTTATATGAGTTTTAATTTTTTTACTTTCAAAAGGAAATGTTTAAATAAATTCTCAGTCTTTACTTCTCTGTATCACTTGATCATTCTTTGTTCCAAATTGCCCATTTTAACCTTTGTACCCTCTATGAATGACTGAGTTTGACACAAATTACACATTTATATTATAATTATAGATATTATGAAATCATAATATAATTTTATAGCCTCAAATCTTCTTGTTTTACTGAAATATAAACAAGAAAGTCAAACCCACATGCCATGCCCTCCTATCACATCCTGTCTTACAAAAATTGAAAATAATTCTTTGATGTTTGCTATTGGATGATTTATAACCAACAGAAAGAAATATTTTAATTTACTGAATTTTCTATAAGGTTAGTTCATTCTGACAACAGTTTTAGAATTATTTGGCTTCAGTTCCATTGTTTACTATTATTGAGACTTTCTTGACCACATAAGAAACTATTTTAAACCACTGAAATCTTAGTTATGGAGCCAGTTAAATTATATTAGTTTTAGACAGTCTAGTTTTTGTGTGTTAATTCTTCTTATAAATTGCATACTTGAAATAAGTAGAAATTACATTATGTACTACCAACAACCCTTCCCAAAAGTAGAGTTAAGGTTTGACACGACTTTGACCTGCACTTAAGTCTCCAATTTCTTGTTTTTCATGTATTATTTTTTATTTATTGCTATAAAAGTAACTGAAACGTAAAAATTAGAAACTTATGAGGTTGGGTAAGAAAACATCAATTTAAAAAAAAATTGATGATAGCACATGCACGTCGTGATGCAGTGTGTGTGAAACGGGATTGTAATTTGTATGCTAGTAACTCGATACTTTGTTTACACAAAGCTACCCCACTATGGTAAATGGCTTTTTCAATTCTCTAAGTGCAGCAGTAAAGCAATAAATCTAAATGCCCCTTTGGTTTGAAAAGTATTAGTTTTGGCTTAACAAACAAGCTTAAGGTTTGACACATAGTGTTGACATTATTTCCTCAAGCTACAAATCCCTATTTTGACTCGATGTCTAAAAGCTGTAATATTTATATATCTTGATAAGGGGAGAAAAATAAAAATTGTAAAACTACGAAGAAATGTTGTGATTTTAGAATTTGAAGAGGAAAGAGATCATTGCAAGGAGAGTTATGTTGTCAGCTCAAATGTTTCTGATGAGGATCTTGGAGAAAATGAAGAAAATAAAAATTAAAACAAACCTTTTGAACATAGTCGTATTGTGTAATTTCTTCTTTTTTATAGTTTTTATAAAATTGATAATTCTGGTAATATCATTAAAGAGTAAATATTTTCATAACATATCACTTTATGCAGCTGTTCAGTTCACGTGTGCAAATGAATTTACACATGTGAATCACTACACACGTGGTTTTTTTCAGAATTATTTACTTTGTTAGTCATACCAAAGAATGGTTGTTTAAAAAGAGAGACCAGTTTTACTTGCTAGATTTATACATAAGTTCATTTACTATTTTTCAGAGCACTCTGCAGAGTCCAGATATTTGGCATGATATTGCATTTTGTATATCATATGGAAAATCTCAAGTTCTGTGAATTACTCCCTATTTATAGTAATATTATATAAAATTACCTCTTAACTTAATCGTGACTAATCACAGTGATAATACTAAACTACTTATTGTATTAATATTGTATTGAATGTAGAAAAATAACTGATAACATCATTAGTAGACATCAAGTAGGTAAACTATATCAGAAACTTTAAAAATAAAGTTTTACATTATTCAATGTACTTTATACACCTTTTGAAGCTTGTGTGTGGATGATGTTTCAATCTTTTAAAAACATCTTCTCCAAACAAGCTCTAAAGGTAGATGAAGTCCTTTAAAAATTTCAAATAAATTACAATTATCTACTTAAAATTTATTTTAAGAAATATATATAAATTTGAATTAATCGTATATACATATGTACTTGTCTCAAGGAAACGGTTTTACTTTGTGAAATCACCTTGACAGTAATATTAATTATTCTGTTAATGTATTTGAGTACACTCAGTTTTATCCCATTATGAAACTATGACTTTTTTTGTTTTGGGTTTTAATTTATCAAAACTGCAACTTGACTTTGCTACAAACTGTCATTTAAGGTTCCTTAGATATGCATCAATATTTGTGGACAAAGACAGACAGTTGCATTATTAATGTCTGTTTTTTAATTCGTAACCTAATTTTCTTTTATAGGAATAATCTGAAGGAAACCTTAAAGATATATTGTAAGAGAACTGTTGTATTGAAATGAATAGATATTCACAAAAAGATTCTAAGCTAAAACAAAGTCTTAATTCCAGGGTATGGTTGATCCAGGTGAACTTGTTTCTGTCACACTGAAGAGAGAATTCTTTGAAGAGGCTTTAAATTCCCTGTCTATGTCAGATGAGGAGAAAGCACAACAGGAATCTGAGTTGGAGCACTTCTTCAATAATGGAAAAGAGGTCTGCATTTATATATATCAGTGAAACATAGAAGAAAGCTTAAACTATGTTTTTTTTTGTTTTTTTTTACACTTATGAATTTAATTTTAAGATCAAACTACAACCAGTCAATGTACACTCACAGAGCTTTCAGTAATCTTAATGTAATTATTACAGACACTCTTATTTTCCTGTTATAATGTTGTTATTATAATATGTAGTAGTCAGTACAAACTTAATTCTTCCTTTTGGTTGTGTGGTTGAGCTAACCACTCAGTTTGTAACCAATTAAAAACTGGTTTTATGTATCATCTTAAATTGTTAGTTAATAATCATATTTCTTAGTGTGTGGGCTTCCAATAGGCACACATGCAAAGCCAGAAAAAGCTTTTGTCATCTGTAAAGACAAGAACAATAAAAGTAAAAAATACTTTTCATTTACAGTTTTCTAATATAATGATGACTTAAACAATATATTTTAAATTGTATTAATTGTACACACTTCCATAATGTTGTAACCCTGCCCTCTTTCAACATCTCAGTTTGGAAGTCCTAATTACAGAGTAATTGATTATACTAATTTGTTCATTAGCATAAATTTATATTATATTTATTATATAAGATTACATTTTTTCTTACTGCCTTTAAAGCATTTGATTTTGGCATTGGTGATAATTAAACATTATATCAGATAAGTAGTGCAACTGATCAAATAGTTATATAGTTATCATCATTACACTAGCCAGTGTAATTAGTTTTCATCATTTTGCATATAAAACAAATTAAAACAATTATATATATATTTTTATATAATCTAATGTCACAGATCTACAGAGGCTATGTTGACGACCCTCGCAACACTGATAATGCATGGATGGAGACAGTGGTTTTTAATTTTCATGATGAAACTGGAGATATTGTCGGAAAGTTTCCTCTTCAAGCAGGAGATGATGCGGCTAAAGTTCACTGGACCGACATCTCTCAAGACTTGCAGTTGTATGCTAGTCATTCAGATTTCTTACGTGCTGTTGGAGAATTCCACAAAGCACATTGGTGAGGAGTTCTGTTCATTTGAGAGAGAAATATCCATTTTAACCTAGTGCAACTTCAGTAGCTGTTAGAAGTATATTTCCTATATAAACAAGTTTTTTTATTTGTCAATTACATAATGTTATAAAATATATTTACATTTTACTACACTGAAAATGATCAAATTCTTAGAGGTAAAAAAGATTGAGAACACTTTGCTACTTGAAGTTGATAATTTAATGCATCTATCTTTTAGTTATAGTACTTTCCTGTCATCTGAAGTTTTGAGCCCTGGTAACTGCTGACTCTATTGTCAATGTGATCACTTTTGTGTAAATGTGTTTACATTTATAATATAACTTGAGTTTAACATGAAACATATCATGATTGATGCACATGTTGTCAGCAGTGTTAAAAGTGCTAATGTGCTGACTCAACAATGGTCACTTGTATTAAAATCACTGGTACAATTTAGGTTATGTTATGAGAATTGTAAAAGTTGTAAGATGTGGACAGCATTCAGCAGTGTTTAATCCAATAATAGTCATTTTTGTTAATCATTAACCCAACTGAGGTCATGATAATTATAATACTAGACTGGTGCAGATGAGGTAAGTTGTGTTAAAAGTGCTAATATAACAGCAGATAATAAAATTAAAATCATTGGTTAAAGTGAAAAAACTAAAATTGATTGTTGATACTAAAAGTATTGACAACAATCTCAAGAAGTTAAATGGGAGGATATGACTACCATTCTGTAAGGTGTGAATAATACTGTGGTCAGTAGTTGCTATCTGTATTACAACATCTGATAGAATTTTTGTAGTTTTAAATGCACTTGCACAATAGTAAAATCAGAATTAAGATATTTTGGAAAGAGTATTTTATTATTTGTGATCCAGAAAACCATTTAAGAAGTGTATTTGTCTTAAAGTGGCTCCCCTTAAACTTGGAGGGAGGGTAAAGCAAATTTAAGTAGACTAACTCTTAATATCCTTTTGTAAATAGGGTGATTCAACTTACAATCAAGTAATGATTGCTTTTGAGGGATGTAAATGGTGTCTCTTTTGTCATTGCAATTGAGCATTGTTTTTTTGTATCTGTTAAAAATAGTCTTTTATCAGTCACTGTCACAGGAAACTGAGTACCCAATAAAACCTTTTGTTGAATTACTATTAGATTTTAGTCATTTTCTTTTGTAAACATAGATACACTAAAGGTACTAAGAAGGTCTATATAGTTTTCATATGTAAATTCTGTAGCAATGACTTAAGTGTTTAAACAATTACTAAGTTTTCAAAAATACGATACCCTATAACCCGAGCACTTTCAAAAAGTGAACCTTTCTTTTTCAGTGGTCATGTTATAGGGTATCATACTTTTGAATTAAATTGATTTCTTGAATGTATGTGTCTTCCTAACATTATGAATAAGTTTTCAAAAAGTTATATCTATTTCACAAGTAAATAGTTGACAATAAATTGATAGAACCTAAATTAACTACGTTCTAAACTTAATGTGCACAGTTACTTAGTAAAAACTTTTATGCTTTTAAGTACCATAATTTAAATGTAAGATAAGTACAATACACATCCAATTTTTAAAAAAGGTATTTGCTAGACAACACAGTGCAGAAATTAAAGTATTAAGTTGAAATTCAAAAACCAATTAAAATAACATAATAGAAGGAATCACTGAAAGTATTCAAATGAAGGAATAAAAACAAAATTACAGGGTTCAAATATTTGTGCTGTTGCTTAAAAAGTAAACAACAAAAGATGATTATTCTAAAGTGTTTTTTTATTATTTTTAATGATATATCAAATCCCTTTCTTTTTTTCTTACATCAACAAGGACTTTTTTGCTTGTACATGTGTATGGAAAAGATTTAATCTGAAAATCTAAATTAATTGAAAGACACGAATTGGAATTCTCTATTTATATGCCAAGAATCTTTGTAAATGAACAGCTAAACTAAAGTTTAAATCTGTAAATGAACTAAAATATGTTTAAAAAAGTTGCATGAAATAAATACATATATAAAGGCCACTATGCTTCAATTTTAGAAGTCCCAAAATCCAACAACATTTGGTATATAATATTCCCTAAGTCTCTTGAGATGTGTGACAGTTGAACTGATATGTCCTAGAAGCAACTTTGTGTCACTTTTCCAGAGGAAGATCCTTCTTGATTGTGTTGTATATAGTTGTGTGGAACAAGTGGACAGATTTTGCAACTGAACTTTGAGTGTTTGGATTTTCACCTGTAACAAAATACTTTACTTTGCTTACCATAGCTGGTTTACAAATTGTTGCAGGTTTCTTTCTGGATGGTCCAGGTGCCCCAAATTGATCCATATTCCATTGTTTTCCAATGCCATTAAGTACAAAAGATATCTCCACCTTGGAAATCTAAATCTCTGTTCTGAATACCTCTCTATGAGCTGAGTGTATTTTAAGGTTCAAAAATGTAGTATAGATCCTTTTCATCTTCCACCGTAAGACTTATATTTTCTTTTCTTTTCTCTCATTTAAATATAAAAAAAACTTATGAAAATGTGATAAAGACAACAGCAATCCTTGCTTGGCAGAGAATGTAAGAACCATTAGAGATAATTGAGACCGTTAATTAGACATCTGGAACCAATTCAAAAATGATACTGCTTATTCTAACCATGTTAACCTTAAATTTGAATAACCTCATTTTTATTGTCAGCTTAGTTAAGTGATTTTTGCATCCAGTAGAAGTATTTTTGGCTAGTGTTGAAGAGTTTAACAACCTAGGAATATATTTATTATTTTAGATTGCATATTTTGAGCAGTGATCATAAAACTAGTGAGCATGGTCACCTATTTTTTAACACAAGATTCATGACATACATTATTTTCACTGATCAGCACTCTACTGTAGATGTAGTTTCAGCAATCTGTGAAGAAAAGGTTTGTTTAGTCTTTCCCATATCTACCTTGTAATATACAGTGTTAAAACTGAACAAGCACAGAGCAACCAGTAATTTTTAAAACAAATTAGAAAACGCCTAGAATACAAACTTTTTTAACCTTCACGAAATATTCAAAATTATTTCTAGCTGCAATTTTAATTTCCTTTTACATAAAATATTGGTAGATAGCATTGTAACTGAAAGGTAACCAAAATATTTATTTATCTGAATCTTTTAGTCCTTCTTTGTTGCTCTCAGCAGTAGTACTGGTTATATCCATATCAATGTGAAAGCTGTTTAAATATCTTAACAGCAATCCATGTAAAGTGTATAACTTATTTTCTCTTTCAAGGTTTTCTTCATGTTCTTAGTACCCGATGGCTTGGAAATTGATATATCTTTGGTAACTTCTGATACTGAGTACTATAAGATAAGTATTATGCATGGACAACTTGCACTTGGAATGCTTACAAATATGGTTGAGAACCAGAGGATCAAGCTAAACTGCTTGATAGTCCTACATAATAGTATTTTAAACAAGAAAGTAACATAAGACATGTATGAGATTTTTCTGGTTGGTTTAGTCAGTAGGAACATCAAACGTTTTGATATTAAAGCACATCATAAACCTGCTTCCACAGGGCCACATATGAATTTTAATAATCTTATGCTTGAGCTTTCACCCTTTTTCTAAATAAAAATTTGATTAATGAAATGTAATGAATATCTAAGTATTTATTAAAAACTTCTTGCTGCAATATGCTTTTCCATCTTCAAATATTCAAAAGCCCTCTTATTATGTTCAGAATTTAGGTACTTCTGCTATGTTTTGGGTCATACTGACCTGATGCAATTTGAGAAATATTGAAAAAGCCTTAATTTGTTAAGATATTTTATCTTTAGACAGCTTCTACTCATTTATATTAAATGTTAGAAATTATTGTAAACTCTCATTTCAATGAACTCAAAAATATATTTAATTGCATCATAATGTTATGGAATTTAGTATCGGATCAAATAGACCCAAAGCATAATAGTATAGTTATAGGAAGCACTTTTTAAGGTGCACACACACACACATATTTTATTGTCTAAAAGACAATCTCCTTTTTGTCAATTACTCTGATTGTCCATTTCTGAAATGCTGTTCAATTAAAACTGTGTTTTTAGACTACTGTTTAAAATTAAATTGTATTCAAATTTAAACCTCCAGATAATTAGTTCCTTCTGTTGTTACTTACAATTATATCTCCAATTACTTACAATTATTTCAAGGGACAATTATGCCTTATCTGACACGGTTGTCAGAACTTCGTCATATAGCCTATCACTGCCAGGTGGAAGCATATTCCAACTCTCTCCTGTGGCTATCTGAACCACTTCCGCTAGATTATACAGAGAGGTGAGTATTTTCATTACTATGCTAGTCTCTACTTTACCTTACAGGGCCACTTACCTCGTTTTTACAGGATCCAACTCTGTGGAGAATGTTACCCAGGCAGGTGTGCTTTTATGAAATCAATTCTGCACTGCAACCACTAATTCAATATACTTTATATAGGTTGCAACAGACTCTGTAGAAATGAGGTGTTCCATAAAACCATCTAGAGGCTGACTGGGTGGCGTTATTGTACTATGCTGGACTGCCACTCATGGACTATCATGAGTAAAGCATAGGGGGGACCCTGCCCTTCCCTGCCGATCATTGGATTGAACAAATTGGGGTCGGTTTGCTTTTAAAAATTTAGGAAACTTGATTCGCCTATTGCACTGTTCCTCAGGGCTTTTCCCAATGCTCATTACCCCCAGGTTCTACTAGTGGAGCTAGGGAGTCTTTACCAAACCTGGTTTCCAGTCACTGGGATGGTGGACTGAGGCTTCGAGTGTTTGTAGTAAAGCACAAAGCTACACAAAGGGCTATCTATGTTCTGCCTACCATGGGTATCGCAACCACTGTGTCACTGAGGGGTGGATAGAGGCTTTTCCTCCAGAGTGTTAGAGTGAATTCCTCCACTCTTGGAGAAGGAGCCTACTCATAGTACCAGTTTAGATTTGATGCTCAGCTATCCAGTTGGGTTGAGCATGGCCCTTCATTTTGATTAATATTGGTTCAGTTCATTATTCATGGAAGAGAATCCATTGTCTCCTCATAATTCCGAATGCAGAGTGGTCTCATCCTGGGTCCTTGGTTGAGCACAGTATGTTCCATCTCCTCTCCATAATTGAAGGGGCAAGTGGAATTTACCTTTCTCACATGAGTGGGGATGAGTGTTCATAATTCCACACTGGGTGAGTTCTGTTTCCTCAGGTTGAATAAGGCATACAAGATCCCGTCATTTTGAGCCTGGGTTATTGTCTTTCAGACTTCATCAGCTTGAGGAGAAGGTTTGTTGCATACCTTCTCATGATTTCAGTAACTCAGAATGCATCACTCTATGGCTACAGGTTGGAATCCACTCATAAGTGTAAATATATATTATGGTCCAATTGCCCTAGCCACCAATGAGAGATATAGGGGCCATGGCTCTATAATTCCAACCCCAAGTAGTGGAACCTTGGCTATCTGGTTGGGGCCTGGCCAATAGTGATGATAAATCATGTAAAATTCCACTCATAGTACATGACTTAAGTTCCGTGTGAAGAGCATACTTGTTTTAGATGTAGTACAGTTTCCACACTAGGGTGCCAATCTTCTATTATGTATGGATAACGCCCTCACCAGTAAGTATGTTTTGGAAGTTAACATTTTATTAAATCAAAAATGTATTTTCAATAATACTTACCTCTGTTCACACTCTTCCACCCTTCCTTCCCACTAAGAACCAGTGTTAGAGACTGCAGATTGAGTCAGTCTAAAAAAAAATGATAACATTATTTGAATGAGGTGCTTATATACAGTACCAAGATAGAGGGCACATTGACGTAGGTGGTGAATGTCATGAGTAAAATATCGTCAAGAGCAATTAAGTGGGGTATAAAAGACTGGATCAGCAAGAAAAATCAGACCAATGCTTAGATGGGCAAAGAATGAAACCCTGGCAGTTGAGTAATAGCTGTTGTGTGAGAGGAAGTAAGTATTAATGGAAATACATTTTCGATTTAAGAAAATGTTAACTTTTTTCTCTGTCCTTAATATTTTTGTAATTGTGAACTTTACCAAGTTTAGTTTTATTTCCTTGGATTTGAATAATTTGTGAATAATGTAATTTGTTCAAACAAAACTGATAAGTGT